AATGGTAAATTTTCAAGCTGGACAGAGGTGGCAAGTGGTGTCCCTCAGGGGTCTGTTCTGGGACCCCTTCTATTTAACATGTTTATAAATGATCTTGAAGACCGCATTGAAAGTCATGTTTCAGTGTTTGCAGATGACACCAAACTTTGTAAAACAATACAATGTGAGCAAGATATTACTTTGCTGCAGAGGGATTTAGATAGACTGGGGGACTGGGCACTCAAATGGCAGATGAAATTTAATGTTGAAAAATGCAAAGTTATGCACTTCGGCGTAAAGAATACACAAGCAACGTATACCCTTAATGGAAGCGAATTAGGGATAACAACACATGAAAAGGACTTGGGAATTGTTATAGACAACAAACTATGCAACAATGTGCAATGTCAATCAGCAGTGGCCAAGGCCAGTAAGGTATTGTCATGCATGAAAAAGGGCATTCATTCTCGGGACAAGAATATAATTTTGCCTCTTTATAAATCACTGGTAAGACCCCATATTGAATATGCTGTGCAATTTTGGGCACCTGTTCTAAAGAAGGATATTATGGCACTAGAAAAAGTGCAGAGGCGGGCTACAAAATTAATAAAAGGAATGGAACATATCGGCTATGAAGAAAGGTTAACAAATTTAAACCTATTTAGTTTAGAAAAACGTCGCCTGAGAGGGGATATGATAACATTATACAAATATATTCGGGGCCAATACAAACCATTGTGTGGAAATCTATTCACAAACCGGACTTTACATAGGACACGAGGACATGAGTTTAGACTGGAAGAAAGAAGATTTCGTCTAAGGCAAAGGAAAGGTTTTTTTACTGTAAGAACAATCAGGATGTGGAATTCTCTGCCTGAGGAAGTGGTTTTATCAGAGTCCATACAGATGTTCAAGCGGCTACTAGATGCATACTTGCAAGAACAGAATATTCAAGGATATAATCTTTCAATGTAGGGTAATAACTGCTTGATCCAAGGATAAATCTGACTGCCATTCTGGGGTCAAGAAGGAATTTTTTTCCTAGCTTGTTGCAAAATTGTGCTTCAAACTATTTTTTTTTTTTGCCTTCTTTTAGATCAACAGCAAAAAACAAATGTGAGGTAGGCTGAACTTGATGGACGCAAGTCTCTTTTCAGCTATGTAACTATGTAACTATGTAACTATGAAATCAAACAAAATGGACTCATTCACAAGCCATTTAGAAGAGAAAACGTAACATTAAATATATACAAATATAGGCTTTGTAGGCAATGTCAAGTAGATAAGTCATGAACTACAGACCTTGGCACTACAGTTTCGAACCTGCCGGGTCTTTATCAAGCTTGATAAAGACCAGTAGGGTCAAAACATTGCTGCTTTTGCCCCAATTAGGCTGCTATTTTTGTTATCCCGGGGGGCCTGAACCGTTATTTATTCTGCATATGTTGAAATCAATATCATGAGCATACCGGACCAAATTTTGTCCTATGAGGCCAGATATTCCTTTCAGGCATGCCAAAATATGTCATGGTTAGAGAGCACAGCTGACAGTCTCTCCATATGATCAGGACTGTCTTAACATCATTATAGATCGCTGGGCAAATCAGTGCATTGGGGCCCTGCCTACACAACCACTCACAGGAATGAAAATGTAAGTTATTGATAAAATTAACCTTATATTTATTGGTACCCCAACAAAATCAATGTTTATGCATAAAAAAACATGCTCTGCGGCAGAGAATAATCCACACAAAGGTTTAGTAGCTGGCAAGAAGAGGAAACTGGCATGGACTATTAAACTATTAGAAGAACTTTATTATGGCTTCACAGCTTAAAAAAAAAAAGATATTTGTTGATGTTGTCTTGCTTATGTACAATTAGTATGTGTACCTTGTTTTTGTCAAGATCAAAATGTGTATTTGCAATGCAGGATCACATGTACGGATAACAGCTGATACTGACGTGATTAGTCCACCTAAATGTTTTAATAAAGATGGTTTGAAGGTTCTGAATAAATCTCCTAGAATAAAATACTAAAAAGTTGGCAAATCTATTAGGGCCTCTATGCTCGTGGTGCCCCAGGCAACTGCCCAGCGTGATTTAAGAAATGATTTAAGACAGCTCTGCATATAATGCACACAAACAAACTTAAGCCCTATGTTCAAACTTCTCCACTACCTACAATAAAAACCACAGAAAAAGTTACTAGTGTACTATCCAAAATCCCTAAGCACATTTAAGTAGCTGGAGGTATCACTACAATGGCCATGATATAATTTATTTAGGTTCCGATGATAGCACTGCAAATAAAGTGACAATGTCTGTGACAGACCCGCTGGCAAATCCTTTGTCAGAGCATTTAAGGGGCCAGAACCAGTCTAATAAAATCCACTATGCCCAAATAACGGATTTAAAGGGCAAAATCTTCCAGGGGCCATAGTCACAGGGCAGGAGGCTGGAAATTAGTCCTCTCCAGGCACAAGTGGCAAAGGGCACTTCATCACACATCTTCCCATTGGGGGGGAGACTAACCAGGTACCTGACCTTCTGTCAGTCAGTACCTGAGTTAGTCGAGTAGCCCACCCACAACAAACAGTTAACAGAGTAGCCCACCCACAATACACCATTACTGCACCTGTTTATTCCTGGTGTCTGGCTCTGGCCTGTATGTCCCAGGTTGCTGAGGGGAACTAGTGGGCAGAGGCCAGTGACGCTCTGCCCTGATGCCAGTGCTTCTGCTGGGTTGGCTAGTGGGTATTCAGGCTATGACCAAGAGGGCAAAGGAGGGCAGAGGCCGACCGCGCTCTGCCCGGATGCCACCTCTTCTGCTGGAAGAGGGTCAGTGGAGGCTAACATCTTCTTCACTAAACTCAGTACCGGGTTAGGGGTTGGCTGTGGAGGGGAGGGGTCACCTACCTCCTCCTCCTGGTACTCCTGCTGCCGCTGGGGTGCGAGACCGGTTGCTTCCTCTCCCTGAAGCTCACACTGCCGCAGGGGAGAGAGACCGTTTGCCTCCTTTCCCTGGGGCTCCAACTGCAGTTGGGGATCTGGGCCGGCTGCCCAGCATCCTTGTAGGGCCGGTGGAGAGACCTCGGTCCTATCTCCACCTGCCATCTGTGGGTCTTCCCAGGACCAGTCTATGAGGTCCCTCAACATTTGAGAATAAGGACCACCTGCCTCCGCACCCGGTAACTCCAGTCGCTGCTGGGGATCTGGGCCAGCTTCCCAGCATCCCGGTGGGCCCGGTGGCGAGACCTTGGTCCCATCTCAACCTGCCTGTCAGGGTTCCTCACAGGACCAGTCTATGAGGACCCCTACTTCGGGTACCTCTTGTAGCTGCTGGGGAAGGAGACCGGTTGTTTCTTCCCTCTGCATGGTGCACTGCCGCTGGGGAGGGAGGTTGCTGCTCTCCTCTCCCTGTGACTCTGTCTGCTGCTGGGGAGAGAGACCGGTTGTCCCGAGCCCCAGTCTCCACAATCTGAACTCACATTCCCGTGCTGCTTGGTTCTCCTCATCCAACTCTTCCATGATGTGGACGATCACCTCTTCTGAAGGGTCTGGGCCATACTCGACTAGCCACCTCTTTACTTCCGTGATGTAAGTGTCGCCCTCATAGCAATAGGTCATGTTTGCTTGGCCCCACTCTGGGCCACCAGCCCTCCGAACCGTGCCTTGGATTCCACTGTTGACAGGGGTGCTGCACGAGTGCTAGCGTCGCCCTCACTTGTAGCTCCGTAATGCTACCGGTGTCTCTGGGCTGCTTCTCCTCACACTAGGACGCCATCCCACCGCTGCCACCAAATGTGATGGACCCACTGGCACTCCGACCGAGTACCTCCGCCAATTGATACTCCTAGTGCTTGCCAAGGACTCCAAGCACTCCAACCGACACCATCAGCACTGCAGACTTATCCTATCCCCCAAGCATGAGCCAGGGCTTCAAGAAAGGGTCAAGCAGGTCTGTTTTAATGAGCACACAAAAGCAACAGCACTCATGTAGCAAAACAACTCCTCCTCACAGGAAAACAAAATGACAGTTAAGAGGGTCAGACCGAGTTTGAAAATATGACAGTTATTAAGGGTTTAAACTGGTGTTCTAAGAAGGGAGGGGGGAACAAAACAGTCAAACTAAGTCCATAAAACAGGGGTTTTCTTCACACTCTGCATCTGAAGTGCATAGCAAAACTGCAGATCCTTTGTCAAAGCATTTAAGGGGCCAGAACCAGTCTAATAAAATCCACTATGCCCAAATAACGTATTCAAAGGGCAAAATCTTCCAGGGGCCATAGTCACAGGGCAGGAGGCTGGCAATTAGTCCTCTCCAGGCACAAGTGGTGAAGGGCACTTCGTCACAGTGTCCATTCAATATCTCATAACACATATATGGGCAGCTGCACACAGCTCATGACACAGTTGCAATGTTAGGGCATTACATTGTGCATTAGGGAGGAGAAACATTAAGTGGAGCCAGCATGGGCTTCAGGGTTTCTAAGAATAACATCGTTTTAAATTATACCTTTTTAGTGTGCCCTACTATTTTGATTAAGTCAAACATGAAAAAGTCACATAGTAATACATACATAAAACATCATTTAAAAAAAAATAAAAATATTTCTTATCCGAAACTTTTTAAATACATGTTTTTCATCTATCTAATATATATATATATATATATATATATATATATATATATATATATATATATATATGAAACCAGGGGGCTGCATTCACCTGAAAATGCAAAAATAGTGTGCTGCTGGGGACCAATTTATACTATACACAAGATCCAGCGCATTCACTTATTCACTAAAAGGCAATTTCCATTTTGACAGATTTTATTAGATTTTTTTTTTTTTTAAAAACACATAATCTAGGCAAGAATAATGGGGATTTAGTTACATTATATGGCCATACATTGCATACGCCTGCCACAAGTTCAATGCATATATATATATATATATATATATATATATATATATATATATATATATATATATATACACACACAAGATCCAGTGCATTCACTTATCCACTAAACAGCAACTTCAATGTTGACAGATTGTATTAGTTTTTTTTTTTTTTTTTTTTAAACACCCAATCTAGGCAAAAATATATAAAAAAAATACAATCTGTCAACATTGAAATTGCTGTTTAGTGGATAAGTGAGTGCACTGGATCTTGTGTATTGTATAAATTGGCCCCCAGCAGCACCCTGTTTATGGTTTCATATGTATTAAGGCAATTTGCCTGCATTTGTGGGAGGTGCTGGTTTTCTACCCCTAGCCTACTTAAGGCACTCCCCTTGCCTGGCTCCTTACCGTTCGAGGTCAGCGTTGAATGAGGATCCACTTCCAGGTTCTCTCAGACGCCATGTTGGTTTCAGTATCCAGGAGGTTTCACCACGTTAAGCTGTGTCCAGGAATCCTGTTCAGGCCTTTCCGCCCGTCCAGCTTCTTCTGACTCCGTTCTCCGTTGTAGATCGAGTCCCAGGGACTCCTAAACCGTAAGTCAGACCTTCCTGTCACGCCAGGACTGGTTCCCACGGCGTACGGTACAGCACGGGTCCTCGCTTTACTGCTTTTCCCTGGTTATGACACGAATGTTTCAAGCCATTCGCGGGCTTTTCATTCGTACGGTCATTCGGCTGAACATGTTTTAAATCGTTCAATAGTCATTTCGCATATCCTATTCATGTTATTTAAACGAATGTTCATTCGGTTGTTTTGCCGTTCGGCAAATTTTACATACGCTCATACACGCTTTGGTTCGCATAAATCATACGGTTAAACTATTCTAACTTCTGTGTTCCCCTCACATTTGCTTTCGGCTGTTCTGTGTGTTCACGTATAATCCTTTCATGAATTATATTCACCATTTCATGTGTATATAACATTCGGTTAAAGTATTGCTTGCTTAAATAGATTATTGTTGATTACTTTTAACAAATTGTCAGTATTGTATTACGTCCACAAATCAAGTCCACTTCTCTGTGTATACCATTTGACTCCCACGCTTTCAGGGGTCTGCATTACTTATCCATTTATACGAATGGACTCAGCCTATGTTACAAGCATCATTTCTGGGTTATTAATACAACATATACAAGGATAGGTTCATTTAAGCAATAATTCTCGGGTTGATACGTCTTTGCTATACATACATATCATAGATATACATCACTTTACATCATGTTAAATCATTTTGGGGTATCCCTGCCTTTGGTCTTTCTGCTACATATCATACATAACGCTGTGTTAATTAGGCCATGACCTCATCCATGTCCCTTTCTATAAAACCAGTTACATTTCTGGTACAGATCATTGAACTCCCACGCCAGGAGTTTTATAACTATCCATTTCATTTCAATTTACTCAGCCTACATTACAGGCCTCATTTCTCTGTCATGACGATGACACATAAGGCTTAAATCCTTTTGCATGCATACTCGGGTTGAATCACACGTACTGATCCAACCAATCATACGTCCCCTACACAGTCATATACATATGTATATAACCTACGTTTCATGTTTTCCTTTACACACCATTATCACGTAACACATAGATTGTTTGTACATAGGCCACGGCCTCCCTCAGATGTCTTATTCAAGCATGCAAACATTTCTGAGCCACTCATAGCTATTCCCATGGTATCAACATAACATTGCTGCTACAGACTATAAGTCTGGTTCTTTTTACACCCCACACTCATCGTACTACTCTCTTTTACCCATTTTAGGCTGTCGAGCTTATATAATTTCTCCACACGGTTTATTCCTGTGATTTATCATACTACCAGGTACGTACACCTGCTCATATGGTATTCTACCATACATTTCATTTCATCCCCCTAGTTTAGAGTACTGGCAATAGGGTCACAGGATTCCCAATAGGTATTTACCCCATCTTGGCTGTCGCCATTAGTTAGTGGTCCCGCGAGGCCAACACCCCGCCTCAAACGTTTCGGAGGCAAACACCCATCGGGCCACACGTTAGCTAGCCGCCTCGCATGTTGCAAAGAGAGGGCCTCACCTGTCACTCCCTTCCCCTGTTTTCTGTCGTACAGTCACCGAGAGGCCTAAAACTCCTGCCACTACGTCAAGTGGCCTCAATAACCCCTCGCGCCAACGCATAGATAGAGCCTCTCAAGCCGCTTGGCAATTAGTAGGGCCTCACCTGTCACCAAACAAGCATAATACTTTCGCCATCCGGCCTAGCTAGCCTGCCAGTACAATTTGGTGGTTCTATATACTAATTATTGTTTTATTTATAGTATGTCTCAGGAAGGGGTAGAGGATTTCTCCCTGCCTAGCACCCCGGCTAGAGCTGTCACTCCCACACAAGGAGGAGAGCTAGCTAGTCCAGCATCAATTAGATCCTGGACAATCCCGCGCATAACCACGGAATTAAGGAGACGACAAATCCCCTACCCCGCTACAGCAAGGAAGGCAGAACTTTTCAAACTGCTACGCACATCAACCAATAACATGGAAGCCGGGGAAGGATCTAGCCAGTCCAACCCAGGGGACACACATGCCATGTTATCCTCACTCATGGCATCCATGGGCAAGGTCAACTCCAGGCTGGAGAAACTTGAGTCGGTCACCACGGCCCTCACTCTAGCAGGGCCACCCGCGGCTGCGGTACAAACACCAGCCTTACCATTAGTAGCTCCAGCCAGCCCCCTGGATGACCAGGAAGTTAGCCCGGCCCACATGATACCTGAGCATATCAAAAGGGATATCCTGGAAGGTAAAGACGTCAACCTGGCTTCCCTGTTGATTGCCTCCCAGGACATTGTGGAACATAAGACGTATGCTTATGATGATGTTTCTGTTATTATCAGATCTAGGGATGCCCGCCTGAACAGGAAACTGACTATCCCTGAATTTGTACTAGCGTTTGGTATTTACAGGGATGTCGTCTGTGCGGTTTATCCCAACAGAAGAGAGGAGTTTGATCTCTATATGCACAAGCTGGTAGACCTGGGCAACAAATATGGTGGTTCAGCATTCTATGACTACCATAGGTCTTTTTCTGCAAAAGTGGCTGGAGCCTTCTCCCAGTACGGTACACGATCCAACTGGGGAAGGATTGATACCGTCTTATTCTGCAGACACTTTGCAGGTCTAAGAACACCAGCTTGTGCATACTGCTCCTCCACAGCCCATACTACTAATTTTTGTCCCAACACGGCAGACGGACATGCCTCCACACAAGGAACTAGTTCCTCTGGGGATCCAGGGAAACTATCCAAAGACAAATTGGGACGCCCAATCAAGTTTCTGGGCAAGTCCCAGATATGTAATAATTTCAATGTTGGGTCTTGTAATTACAGTGGATGTAGACTATTGCATGTCTGTTCAAAATGTTTTAGGGCACATGCTAAGACCATGTGTCCAAATAAAATGTATTCTAAGCCTTACCTTACGTCCATTAATATGCCAGTATTCACAGCATTGATGTCTCAGCACCCATCTAGACACCTGGTAGATTTTCTTATTTCTGGTTTAACAGAAGGCTTCCACACAGGTATCCTACACATACCAGCTGGCACTCTGGAATGCCCAAACCTACAATCCGCCCAACACAACCCCACAGTGGTTGACACCCTCATAAACCAAGAAGTGAAGGAGGGCTTTGTATTGGGGCCTTTTAGAACTCCCCCATTCACAGAATGGCGCACCAACCCTATTGGTATTGTCACAGGGAAATCTTCCCAAAAACAGAGACTCATCATTGACTTATCGGCTCCCCACTCATCGGCCAACCCCAGTCTTAATTCCCTCATACCCTCTGAGGAATTCTCTCTGCAATACACCACCATAGATCACGCCATTACAGCCATCATACAAGCAGGTGTGGGAGCCTGGCTCAGTAAGACCGACATTACTAACGCCTTCAAATTACTCCCTATCCACCCCACCCTGTGGCACCTGCATGGCATCAAGTGGTCCGAGAACTACTATTTTTTCTCCCGGTTAACTTTTGGGTCCAAAAGTAGCCCAGCTATTTTCGACACATTTGCCGAAGCACTATGCTGGTTACTATTGAACATAGCCGGATGCCCTACAGTATTACATTACTTGGACGATTTCCTACTGGTCGAGGAGAATACTGCACCTCCCACTAGCCTCAAAGCTACCACTAAGCTGTTTGAGCAACTAGGTGTACCCATCTCCCCAAAGAAAACAGAAGGGCCAGACACGGTTATCACTTTTCTGGGTATCCAGTTAGACTCTGCCACAATGCAAGCAAGCCTACCTTACGAAAAGATAGACAATATTCTCACTTACATAAACAACTACCTACAGCTCGGCACTTGCAACCGCAAAGAACTACAGTCCCTGCTGGGGTCACTAAATTTTGCAATGCGCATCATACCTCAAGGCCGCTCCTTTATTTCACGACTATTGCATCTTTTCCCACTTTTTCTACATGACACGCACAGGTTGTCCTTAGATGCCCAAGCTACGGCAGATCTAAACATGTGGAAGAGGTTTTTAACCACTTGGAATGGTAAAAGTATGTTCCTCCCTCAATTGACTGAATCATCTCCTACCATTTGGTCAGATGCGGCATCTACCACTGGTTTTGCAGCAATTTTTGGGAACGAATGGCTTTGGGGCAGCTGGCCTTCAGCAGTTCTGGATTTGGAAGGTTTTTCCACTACCTCAGCTCTTTTTGAGATCTACCCCATAGTGGCGGCTGCCGTAGCGTGGGGTCATTTATGGGCTAATACGCCAGTGCGTTGTTACTCAGACAACCAGGCGACCTGTCACATCATCAACAAAGGTCGTTCCAAATCTCTTACGATTATGAGATTTCTGAGGAAACTCACTTGGTTGGCAGCTTGTCATAATTTCTTCCTATGTTGTTTCCATGTGCCAGGTGTATACAACACAGCTGCTGACAGTTTGTCTCGCTTTAAATTTCAGGAGTTTCATCAAGCACTCCCGTCAGCAGCACCCACAGCCACCATCACTCCAACATTTCAACAACTCATACTGGACTAGACGTCATCATGCAGCATAGCAGGACATTGTCTCAGTTGGCACTTTCACACAATACAAACAAAACATACAACAGGGCTTTCACACTATTCAAACGATTCCTTCTGGAACATAACATCATACAACCGTTTGTTATGACATCTTTTTTGGGGTT